CAAGTCAACTGCACGATCGCTCTGCATTCTTCCCCTGACACTCCGCGATGTTCACGGTCAGTATACCAATTCCGTCGCGCAAACATTTCCACCGGGAATGTGGACATTGCTGTAAACCTTTGATTTATCTGCAGAGTGCGTTAGCCCAACCATTTCTGGACATGATAGGCGGAAAGGGTATGATATCTGTATTATATAATAAATAAATGATATAATAACATCAAATCTTTAAACCTACATCAGACGAGAGAAGACATGCAGATATAACATGAAGTATATCAGATAATTTATAGACTAATTTTGATTATTTGAAAAGGAAGTTTATCAGTCGTGAAGTGTATCTAGAATAGACCCTTTTCTCTGTTATTTGATAGACAGTGGAATGGACACTTCTGAATGTCAAAAGTTGAATTTCATAGTTTTTATTGTAGTCAATAAAGAACCATTTTCATTACACAAACATGGTAGAGGCAGCTCTCACAAACATTGTGTAATATTCTGGGTCCTTTGAGAAATATGATAGATGCATTTGTTGACGTCCAATAAGGAGTTGTCCAAATTTAGAACATGGCCTGTGGCAGTGTTTCCACATGTTTCACCGTCCCCCCATCTGGTCTGCATTATGGCGAGGATACACTAACTACACACATATCTACTGATGGGGGTTAAATAGCTCATCACGGTACAGCAGGGCTGCTTGTAGTGCGATCACTCTGGCGTTTAATGTTTGATAACACATGACATGCAGGATTTTGTCTTTAATCTAAACTATCAGTGCATGTTTCTCAGCCTCAACCAGTCATGCAAAGTAAACTTTGGCCACATGAGACTTCAACTTGTTTCAAACTTTAAATCATGGACAGCAGAGCAAGAAAGCCATAGGTCATAGGGTAGAGTAATAGACAGGGATGTTTCCGTACATCTACTAAAACCGTTTCCATAAAACGTTATCCGTAATTTGTTGGTTCTCCATTTCCAATTTTTGAAATTGCATTGCAGTTGTAGTAAAATTGGAAATTCCTCTTCGCGTGGCCATTTTCCCTGCTCAGTATAAGACCAATAACCGGTTGGCTAAATTTAGACCCGATCCATTACAGCAGTGACACTGATTGAGTTATTCAGGATCTCCAGCTATGGCAGGACGATCGATTTCCGCGCATTTCACGGCCAAGATTCAGGAAGGTCAAGCTCACTTGACTTGGTAAGATCCTAAGATGGACACGCGTAGATAGCAGGAGGCGGAATGCAGCCTCACGCTTTCTCTCATAGAAGCACTTGAGATTGATTTCAGGAACCTGAATCTTGGTCGAACCAATCTTGTCTCCTGATTATCGACAGCTCTCCCGGTCGGTCCGGCGGGACGCCCCGATAGTTGGCCGCGGGCCCAGCGGTCACATACAGGGGCAGGATCGACTTTCTGAGAACCTGCTCTAGTTCTGCAGCGAACTGCACATTTAGTCTCACGGACACAGATCAACTTCCGACTGGGTCTGGGTCATCTTTGTCTGGTTGGAAACAATTCTTTAAAAGTGCACCTGTTAAGACTTCTTCTACGTACGAAAACATCCAAAATCCTATGATTTTTAATGAGAAGCTCGAAGAATTTAACATTATCGGTGTCCTGTGCATAAAAACACAGGGTCTTGATCAGCAATTATCGTTTGGACAGTGACCTTTCATCTCTCTATTGTTAATCAAAGTCCTGCTTCTACAACTTGCCAATAAAAATATGCAACCCAGTCTGTCTTTCTTATAAACTATCCCAGACCTTAACATTCGCATGTGCTGCAGTGCGGATGTCACCAAATAGACAGTAACTTGAACAATGCTTAACGCCAGCATTCGTAACTACATATAGATGCTGTGCGTCTGTGGTCAGAGTTTTCGAGCTGTTGAAGTGCTTTATCATTTGACATGTCGCCAAACTTCACATTTGTCATGATTTCTCGTGGGACTTGCTGCCAACTTCGAATTTGGACATACATACATTCATACATACCTACATTCATGCTTGTATACATACATACATACATACACATATGTGGTCATATGTATGTATGTATGTATGCCATACATACATACATAAATGAACATATGTATGTTTACACACATAGTACATACAAACACACACACACACATACACACACACACACACACACACACACACACACACATACATATATGGTACGTACATACATACGTACATACATACATACATACATACATACATACATACATACATAAAACAGTTCCAGTCATCATATATATGATGGTACAAGAGATTAATATCGCTTCCTGTGTGTCCTACTATTACAAAACAAGCAAACTGAAAGAGGAGAAAGGGGTTCGGTTTCAGAAGTTTTCGTTGTTATGAAATGATCCCCATGTCCACCTGTTGAGCACATCACCGTGTTGACAGTGCGGATGGCTCCACGTCCTGGATCTGCCCATTGAGTTATGGGGGGATTTAAAATACAACAGCAGACATAATAAACCGCCCAGGGAATGTGTTGTCTACAACACTTAATCATTGAATCAGTCTGGTCGGAAGTTTGCTGAGCGGTAATTTGGAATGATAATATATGTGCAAAACGCACGCAGAAGTCATTAATACTTTCCTTCACCGATATAAGTGATACTCTGAGAAGAATATGTAGCATAAGTCAATAGATAGGTCGTCTTGTCTACAAATAATGCTTGGACAGCTCAAAACTATCTAAACGCGCTGCAATGTTTCAAGAGTCTTGAAAACATGTTTTGTGGGCATATATATAATGCCCAAGTATGGTTTTGTCTTGTCCATTTTTCAGTCAAACAACATTAGCGGGAGTGTCCCTTTGGAGTTTGGACAGTTGGAATTGCAAATGCATGTCCAGGATATTTGTGCAGGGGCTGCTGCTTACATCATCTGTCTATTCCGACATGATTGTCATGTTTATGTTATCTGAACAGTATTTCTGGAACTGGTGGATTACTGGTCCTGCCTTTCCTGGCAGCAATCTAGTCGTAAATACACCTCACAGTCGGACGTTTCTCACAGAAGAACGAAACCCGTAAACGCAGTGGAGTGTTAGGTTATGCTAGCCTCTACCAGGCTTCGCGAGGCTGCTGGAAAGTGTAAAAATTGCATGGCCAAATAGAGAGATAACATGCCAGGGGAGTTGGTCCGCTAAAGAGTACATGCTATTTCTAACTCCCCTGGTATAATCTTCCCTTTATTTTGGTCAATTTCTACTATTTTCCAGCGATCTACAGTGCCTGCCTGGTAGAGGCTAAGGTTATCCCGATATTTTTTAAAGAAGCTGATTGATCCAGATAGGTTCCCCGTTTAAGGTTTTAGCGCGACAGTGGCTAATAAACTGCTGGCGTGCAAAACTCCTACAGGCGTAACACTCCTACCGGGCGGTCTGTTGAGCTGGTCGGGGAAAAATTTTAGAGCCCCGAAGACAACCTGCCCCAACCACGATAGACTAGATACTAGGCTATCAGAAACCCGGCGCAGTGTTAGGTTATCCCGATGTTTTCTAAAGAAGCTGTTTGACGCTGCAGGTCAGCGCCCGGCCCGGCTGGAGGCTGTTTGGATAACCCAGTGTCTGCAGTCCCAGCTGTTCAGGTCCCCACATAGTCACAGCTGCTCTTGTCTGTCTGACAGCCATGCACTAGCCTGGTAACCTTTCTTACCGGCTCCAGAGCATAGCAATTCTTTTCGTACAGTCTATCTGGCACGCAAAACTCCTAGTACCGTAAAGATACCGGGGAGCGTGCGATGGTCAGTTGCTGTTGTCTGTCAGACAACCATGTACTAGCCTCGTAACATTTCTGTACAGGCCGCTTAGGGGTATCTAACCGGCCCCGCAACAGAACTATTAGCCCGGGTGGGTCAGGGCAGTGGTATAATTTTCTTTGGGGCCCAGTAGGCCCTGGAAACAGGCTGGCGCCCAGGCTAACCCCGTATCCCGTGAGCATAGGGACTTCCTTTTCGATGACCTATATCTTTCCAGCAAACCTCTATTATAACTGTTATGTAGGCGATTCTCGGTGATTTAGACCGACCCCGTATAATCTCCGTCGTACGCAAGTGGACCTGGACGGGCAGGCAACAGTCCCAGCACCGTACAGTTACCGTAGAGCCTACGTTAGACTTCTGGCTACCAGGCTAACCATGCACGAGATGCTGGTCATGTTTTATACATAAGGGGAGCCGAGATGGCCGAGATAACCATTAGTGTCACAACACGCGTTTTACACATTGTCTGCTGGCGTCTGGTCGGAGATATGTTATTGAGTTTTAGACGGAATAACAGAATGATAAAATAAATGTTGTAGCAAGTTCTAGTTCACCCGCAGCTCTGATGTTTCGCTGACTGGATGTTTTGACAGACTCATATCTGGTCTGGCCAGGCAAGGCGCCCATCAATGTCAAATATGCCTTTTTTGTAGTGCTTTTTCGGTAGCAATGATGACTGTTGATAAGTTTGTTATAGTATAAAACCAGTTTTGACTATGTGCTGTGCATATAGTACGGCAGTATGGTGGACATTTTTTTTAATACAAGAAGAGACCTCCTATCTAAATCTAATTTTCCCTACTAGAAATACATGTTGGTAACGAATGTCGACAACAAGCATGACGTGTGGAAATGTGATGTTGCTGCAGCGACAAGACCAAGCGGTAGGCGGCGCTTGATCCTGGTCAAACTTGTACTCTTCTCAATACAGAATAAAATGTACTTTCCTTACACGAATCCACTTATTTGTAAGTCGAAACAGTGACAAAACCGTCGTAAGAAAATGGGAAGGGAATTGCCGCGTGACGACACAGGGCTATAGATAAAGGACTTGTACCATTAATGTATCGGCTAAAGGTTGACAAATATGTGTTTTTCCTCAGGGGTCAGCTGATGGGCTACCCTGTTCAGTACTGACATGTTTACCTGTGTTCCCAGGGGTCAGCTGATGGACTACCCTGTTCAGTACTGACATGTTTACCTGTGTTCTCAGGGGTCAGCTGATGGGTTACCCTGTTCAGTACTGGTCGCCAAAAACTGCTCAGGAAGAGCTGGATGAGACCGAGGCGGCGATAGAAGCCGAGCTGCTTGTAGATGGAGGTACGTGGAGTCTTACAGACGGGGGGCTCATCTACTCTTAAAGTTATTCCGGAAAAATAGTTTTGAGATTTGAAAAAGCTACACTCCTCTTACGCATAATGATAATGATTAAAAGTGGCGATGTCCTAACTGCGAGAGTAGTTTATATGTTTTATGCTTGTCGAGTGTTAATGAAGCCAGAAAAGCAAGACGTTGCAGAATTCTACTGTGTCACTGCAAAAAAATCAAGAGACAAGACACAGTGGAACGAATGAAGGAGTTTTCTCCAAGCCTAAATGTAGTATGTATGTTGGTTTAACAGGTGATGAAGATGACATTATCCTGCTGTTGGAGAGGCAGTGCCTGAATGTGTGTTGTGTGTTGGGGAGTGCCTGAATGTGTGTTGTGTGTTGGTTTAACCTGAATGTGTGTTGTGTGTTGGTTATACAGGTGATGAAGATGACATTATCCTGCTGTTGGAGAGGCAGGGCCTGAATGTGTGTTGTGTGTTGGGGAGTGCCTGAATGTGTGTTGGTTTAACCTGAATGTGTGTTGTGTGTTGGTTATACAGGTGATGAAGATGACATTATCCTGCTGTTGGAGAGGCAGTGCCTGAATGTGTGTTGTATGTTGGTTATACAGGTGATGAAGATGACATTATCCTGCTGTTGGAGAGACAGTGCCTGAATGTGTGTTGTATGTTGTTCTAACAGGTGATGAAGATGACATTATCCTGCTGTTGGAGAGGCAGTGCCTGAATGTGTGTTGTGTGTTGGGGAGTGCCTGAATGTGTGTTGTGTGTTGGTTTAACCTGAATGTGTGTTGTGTGTTGGTTATACAGGTGA